TGTGACGCCTGAATTTTATTAAGCCAAAATCCTTTGGCCCAATCAGGCGTTTGGATCCAGTGCTGGCCACGTTTGAGGGTTCACCATGGTCTGCATGTGTTGATTGTCAGATCTGGATATGATGAGATCTTGTGGTATGGTGATGGAAGTGCATGAGGAGCGCGCAGGAACCTAGAGCATTGGATCTGAAGACATAAATTAGTGAAAATTAACTTTGCAAAAGGGCTGGGTCGAACCCACCCCCTTTTGGACTAAAGCCTTATCATGCCCTGCCTTGCCAACTGAATCAAGCGTGTTAATTGTTAACAAAATAATACAAAATAAATATAAGGCAATTAAAGATCTATGGCCACATGTCAAAAACACGCGCGCTGTGGGTTCTCAGTGGTTTGAATGGACGAATCAGTGAACACTACGCCATCACCTTCTTCAGGGATCTGTCATTTTAGATGGGGAACTTTTACCTACAGCATTTTTCTGTCACTATAGGTTGTAGTGACAGATTTTGTTCGTAACTAAAAACCTGAAAAATTCAAAAATGCAGCACAAGCAGAATAAATTCAAACCATAGGCACGAATCAATTGCAAATCATCTCCTGAGTATGATAGTACCCCTAATTTTGTCCAATTTTTCCTTTATATAGAATTCCCAATTTGGGACCTCAAAACCCTAACAATGGCATCGTGCCATTCCTGCACTTAAACTTCAATCAAACCAATCAAAAACATTGCAAATATGATAGCAAGCATGGATATATGATCAAAACATGTTTATGATGGATAAATTATTGAAAATGAATCTTGAAAAGAGATGCAAACCGTGGCACTGTGAGGCGTGATTTCTGAAGGTTTTAAGGCTTGAGGATGATTGGAATGGCTTCAGAAAATGTCCAGGAACAGATTGCTGGCCTTAGAATTGCTTGAACGAGTCTATGGAGGAATATGTGATCAGCACTTTTTTTGACAAAAAATTGAGACTTGTCCTCCTTCTTTCACGACCCCAATCCTCTTTCTTATGCTTTGTAAATGTTGTGTATATATCATAGAATGATTTAGGTCAACAAAAACTGATCATATCTTTACAAATTATGGATATTTGATTTCATTCTTTGTCTTGTATGATTTGTTTCTAAAATAGACCAAATTAAGATCTTTTCCAATCAATTGGCTCTTGCACGAATTTTTTGATTTGCTAGCTATTCATGGACTCATAATATGCTCATAAAATTAAATCTTTGATTTTATTTGATTATTCTACTATTTAAATTGATTTATTTTGATTTAAATGGATAAAAAATCAAAATAAATAATAAAAATAAAAAATAATAGGTGGATAAGATCAGGGGTTATGGGTCATCTTAGGAACAATTTTCAAACAAGAAAACATGGGCCCATTTGGAAAAAAAATCATTTTGATCAATGTTGACTTCATGCACATTTCCAAAAATTGGTCAACTTTGACAATACACATATCTCTCATTTTTAACCCTAAGAAGGTGTTCTTGGACTTTTTAGAAAGATTAGGATGTCCCCTAAACAACTCTTTTTTTCCTCTCAATTGGGTCTTCCATGTTCATGTAAGAAGCTTTGACCCAAAAGATGTTTTTGTTGACTTTTCAAAAGGACCTATAATGTAGAAATTCATATCTTTCCATGAGTGCATTTTTTGAACTTGAGGGATGAAGTTGAGTTGTAGGAAATTGGATTCTGTTCAAAATGAGCCTTGGATGAGAAATTTCTGATAAAGTATGAGAAAGTTATGTTTGGTCAAAGTTTGGTTGACTTTTCCAGTGAAACCCTAATTTAGCAACTTTTGGGTTTTGATGAATTTGGGGGAATTCCTTGAGGAATCATGATCAACCCTTGATAAAATGATGGATACATCTTCAAAATGTTGATGTTGACCAAAAATCTTGAAGTTTGACTGTATGTGGGCCACAATTGACTTTTGACCTAGTACAATTGATTTTCAGGCATCTGGGCAATTGACTGAGAAAACTCCTTGTGCAAGGCATGAAACTTGACATGGATGATCTTGAGAACATATTGGGACCATGGAAAGAATTTGGGACCCTTGGACTTCAACCATCTTGATGAGGAGTGAAACCCTAGTTTGAAGCTTGTTGCCTTAAGAGGAGGATTTGTCTGGTCAATCCTTAGTCATCCTTGAGCAATTGAGGGTTTCAATGAGTATGTTTTGAGTAAAATGAGAGGGAAAATTTTGGGGTACAACAATGTGAAACGCAAACTTCTTATTCAACAGAGTATTAAAAACGTCTTGTTTGTGAAGCTATGAAGAAGAAGTATAAGGTGGAAGAAGTTTCCATCATAGCTTCATGCTTCTTGTAACTTTTTCATAGCTACACAAACAATATGTACCATAACCAATGTATGGTCTTTGTTAAGTTGTTAGTGAAGACGAATCTGAAAAAGTGAGAACAATTAATCAACAAAAACACCATGTAACAAACGAGATAATGAGGAACTATATAACAATAATGTATAAGAATAAGAATACCTTAACGTATGAAGCACAAGATTCACGGCTAATGGCGAAAAAGAAGCGAAAAAATAGGTGTTAGGGTTTCACTCTGAAGGAAAGGATGCTACTGTCAATAAGTGAGAGCTAATTCACTTATATATGGGTAAATTATTTCACAAAGGTTCTCTACCAACCGTATTGATAAGTATTTATTTATTATAATATATCACAATGGTGGAACGTACTAGCCGTAGTCATACCCATTTATGTTTTTTATATAAAAATAAATAAAAAAAGAAAAAGACGCACCTTAACATTAAAAGAATAATATATATGATGACGCTGAGGTTCGAACCCATGAAAGCTTAATGGTTTTACCATGGTTGGCTTCTCAACCATTGTTATATACAAATTTATAAATAAAAAAATAAAAGAGGCGCCTTATTTTAGAGATGTCACCACGGTGTAGTGAAGAACTGTGGTGACCATGGCATTGTTGTTTATGCATTTTCTAGTAGTGTTTAACTGACTGTGGCGATATATTCAAGCTTTCATGGGTTTGAACCTCAACCACCTCAAATCTTTTATTCCTTTAACGTTAAGGTGCGTCTTTTATTTTTTATTTATATTTAAATAAATAATAAAATGAAAATCACAATGGTTGATTAGTTCAACTGCTGTGATATATTTTGTTTTTTATTTAAAAGTTTTAAATGGCTAAACGCTGGCGCTTCTTTATGAATTTTACTATGCAAATAAAATATCATTACGGTTTATAGTTTGGACCGTGGTGGTATATTTTTAAATATTATACACTTCTACTATGAGTCTGTCTCATTTGCCTTTGAACTTATTTGAACTACAATACTTCTTCCATGTCTGAGCCTGCAAGGCTTATATCAAATCCCGAACCCATTTACTTTTGATAATCTTAATCTCATGTGCCTCCAACGAACCAACCAAATCTTTCAATTTTAGCGTTTCAAGATTGCTAGATTATTGAATAACAATGATAACGTGATCAAAGTAAGAGGTCAACATACGCGTTACCTTCTCAACTATCATCTTATTAGTTAGGGTTTCACCACAATCCTTCATGAGATGGACGAGATTTCGCACCTTCGACACATAGCCTGCATTTTTTTCATCTTCTCCCATCTGCAACAATTTATATTGCTCTCGCAAAGTCTGCAATTTGACAACTTTGACTTTCTCACCTTGTTCATAGTACTTGACAAGAATATCCCATGTCTCCTTTGATGATTCATCATGAGAGATTTTGTCAAAATTTTCTGAATCTACCATCGATTGAACGTAAAACATCATCTTGCTATCCTTCTTCTTGGCATCCTTGTGAACGGTTCTCTGTGCGTCAGTTGCATCCTCAGCAAGAACAAAAACGCTATTAGTAACCACTTCTAGGATTTTATGAAAGCCAAACAGATATTGCATATGTTTTCTCCATCAGATCCAATTCTTGTCGTTAAGAATTGGAAGAGAATTCAGAATACCATTGTTACCATTCATCTTTGCAACAAAAGTGGTGAACAATCCACGATCCCGTAAATTCGATCACTAACGTGTGATTCTTGAAAACACAATCAAGAGTTTCACCGGAGCTCTAGATACCAATTTGTTAGTGCGAGAGACACTTTTAGTGAGGAGAGAAAGAGAGAATAAAGCAATAAGATTAATATTATTGAATTGTATTGTATTTATTGAATTATAAACTATATCTATTTAGACTAACAAATCCTAATTGAGCTTGAGTTTAAATTACTCAACTTTTATATATATATATATATATATATATATATATATATATATATATATATATATATATATATATATATATATATATATATATATATATATATATATATATATATATATATATATATATATATATATATATATATATATATATATATATATATATATATATATATATATATATATATATATATATATATATATATATATATATTCTCTTTTAAATTCAATATTATCGATTTAGAACTTAACCGATAAATATGTATACTTTAAATCTGATTTTAGTTTTCTCTAATACAAAATATAAATAACCTACAAAATATATTAACCTCAACCACCAAAAGTCATTAGTTTCCAAAAAGTATACTTCACATACATCTATCCACAAAAGCAGCCTCCACCATTCATATTCACATTTACATACCTCCAAATTTCCAAACACTACCCATTACCACATATTTCATAATCTTATCATACATCTAACCTCTAAATAAAATACTCAAACTTTCCAAAAATCTAATCAACACCAAACACAAACAGACAAACACAAAAAACGTCATCCACACGTTACCTCCTCATAATTCCTTGTCCACTCTCAAAAACCATTCTATATTTCCCTCTCTCACCTCACCTCACCTCACAACAACACTTCCACTCTCACACCTTCCTCCAAAATATTATCACAAATTATTCTTGTTTACTCATATTTTTCATCTCTCACACTCCTCTTCACACTCTCAACATCATGTCGGTAAAGGAGTGTGATCACCACACAGGAAGAAAAAGAATACTCTTCCAAAGAATCTTCTGGGGAATCATAGTGTTCCTTTTCTTAGTCTTACTCACAATTCTCCTCATATGGGCAATCCTAAGACCAACCAAACCAACCTTCATCCTCTCCGACATAACCGTCTCCGCCTTCAACGCAACGCAGCCCAATCTTTTAACCACCAATTTCCAAATAACCCTAATGTCAAGAAACCCCAACGACCACATCGGTATCTACTACGACCGTCTCGACACCTATATCACCTACCGGAGCCAACAAATCACTTACCGTACCTCCATACCACCTTCCTACCAAGGCCACAAAGAAGTCGACGTCTGGTCGCCGGGGGTCTACGGCACTGACGTCCCTGTTGCTCCTTTCAACTTTCAGACACTCTCACAAGATCAATCTAACGGAAATTTCTACGCTATCGTTAAAGTTGACGGAAGAGTTCGTTGGAAGGTTGGTACTTTTATTTCTGGTCATTATCATCTCTATGTTCAGTGTCCTGCTTATATCTCAGTTCGTAACGACGGTACCGGCGTTGACATGGGAGCTAACGGCGCTTATATTGGAGCTAACGTCGTTAAGTATCAGATTGATCGACGTTGCTCTGTTAGCCTTTGAGCTTAAATCATCTCTATATTTTCTTGTATTGTATTTTATACGTACGTGTATAATAGTATATTCTATAGTTTTATATGTATATTTGTGTACTCAAATTTACAAAATATGAGAGGGGTATAGCTGAGTTACATGTTGTACTTGTAATAACATATGCCGATAATATAACTGAACCGCAAGGTCAATAAATTGAGTTGTTTCATTTTTTTTCTTTCAGTGCTACTATATGCTATCTCTTTTCCTTTTCTATGCTCTTCCTTCATTTTATAAAGATTAAATAATATAACTAATTTAATAGACAATATTAATATATTATTGAAGTTATAAAATAATTCATAATTCAGATTTTGTTTGTTGTAAAATCCCTTATAATTTAATTAGTTTTATATTGTCATCAAATTTGACTTTTTTTTTTAATATCCTACGATTAATTTTTAAATTGAAATGTAAATGCAATTTTTAATAAAATATCATATATCCTCTATTTATATCCTCTATTTATTTATTTTTATAATTAGTTATTTTATTAAAATTAATGAAGGTTTTGCCTTTAAATTTTTTAAGTTTATATTGAAAACTTTTTATTTTATATTTTTATTAAATGTCAATACATTTAATTTGCATTAAAAAATACATTTTTTCTGTGTGATTAAGTGTCGTTTTAATAAATAAAATCTGTTTGAAAATTAATGTTATTCTTATTTTTCAATATGAAAATATATATTATTTTTTTAATTATATTATTTAATTATTACACTTTATACTATTTTATCACATAAAATTAATTGAATAAAAATATACTTCCTTATAATAACATTATTATCCTATTTAATATGTATGGAAAAATGATCCTCGTTTTGAAATGGATGGAGAGTATCCTAGAAAAGTCCTCTTTAACAAAATATTATAGAAGAAAAAAATTCTCTTTCGAGATATTGTTCCACTTGGAATAGAAATTAACCAACCTAGCAATATTTTCTGTAATGAGAATAGGTTTAGGGGGGTAAAGATGAATTATTGAAGGGGTTGTGACTTGTGACATCTTTGAGTGGGAATGTAGCTATCAATATATCTATTGTTCCATGTGGCAAGATAATGGTGGTCGATTTCAATTCCCTCTCACCTACTTTGGCAGCTATCGTAAAAGAAAAGAAAGAAAGAAAACTTTCCTTCCATTAATTATAAGTTAAGAAATGAGTGGTCCATTATCTTCCTTTCTATTTTTTTTTCAAATCAAAGTTATGATGTCTAACCCAAGTCTAGTCACATAGCATTGTGTGACTCACTTTATCTTTCATTGCAAAACAAAAAATGAATTCCTTCACCCGTTACATAAAAAAGAAAAAGAGTATCAAAGATGCTCAAAAAAATTCAATATATATATATATATATATATATATATATATATATATATATATATATATATATATATATATATATATATATATATATATATATATATATATATATATATATATATATATATATATATATATATATATAAATACGGGTATTAGTTTCTCGTTATCCGTCTCGTTTAATAAATATGATATCCGTATCCGCTATATATTTATGTGTGTATGTGTTAGATGGATGTCCGTGAATTTTAAAATATCCACGAGTATATACGGATATCCATAGATACTTTTATTTTTTAAAAAATATTTAATAAATTAATTTTTTTATCCTTTTTAAAGACAACAAAAAATTTCAAATTAAACACAATAATAATAATAATAATAATAATAATAATAATAATAATAATAATAATAATAATAATAATAATAACAAAAATAAATAATATTCATTTTATTTCTTTTTTTTACAAATAATTATATTACACTCAATAAAATAATAATAGTTTCATATTCAATATAATAATAATAATAATAATAATTTTAGACTAAATAAATTAATATTTAAGTAATTTTATTAATTATTAACGGATACAGATATCCGTGGGCACTAGTATCATCAAACCCATATCAATACACGTAATTAAATGGGTAACTATCTATTTATTTTATCCGTGGTTATTCATTAAGACAATTTACCCGTGCCAGTGACAGATTTTACTCGCAGGTACTCACGGGTACCAGTTTTTTACCATATATATATATATATATATATATATATATATATATATATATATATATATATATATATATTTATGAAATTCTGCCACTTTAAAACGAATGTCAAGACTAATGTCCCAACACCAAAGCAAAATATTAAGACAGATGTTATGACATCATCTGCTGACATAAAACACTTTTACCAAAATAGAGATTATGCGGAATTAAACTGCAGAAGGTAAAAGACATAATAAATTATTAACCCAGTTCAGTACAATATCACATACTCTAGAGACATCCTAGTCAGGAAGAAAATCTACTATAATAGTATTAGTTCAGAGCCTAAACAAACCCAATTTACAACTTATCACCTAATCACTATACTATGCAATTTCTACCTAGAACCCTCTAGATATGAGAACTCCCTCTCACTTCATTGATAAAACCAGTGACAAGAAGCAAAACAGAAGATTACACTTCCAATAAACAATACTCAACTTTTTGCTTAAAGGCTCATGAGTGAAAATAATAACTTGATACACAATTAACCATTTGCTTAAAAGCTCATGAGTGATTTCTAAGTAACAGTGAACAATCAGTCTACCTCAATGTATCAGAAGATACACGAGTGACATAGACAAACAAACAAAGCACCTAAAGTACTCTAAAAACCATAAACCCTTATTTTATGCACCCACAGTTTTTTTATGTGAATGCTTGCTATTTTTAGGTTTAGCAAGTCCTTATATATAGACTTTTGTAGTATGGACTTGGACTCTTCAATCAAATCCGATCTTCTAATTTTAAATTAACTGTAAGATATTCTCCACAAAAATAGGAACAAATCTTCATAGTTTCCTAAAAGTCCCAAATATCCTTTTTATGAAACCAAATAAAATATGTATTGTTCCTAATAAAATCTTCTTTACCTGTGAAAATAAGTGAGATATATTCAAGAGGATCTCACAAAAACAAATCAAATATGTCAAGAAAATAACTGCAACACATGTTGTACAGTTGACCAAGATGTCAAGACATATGACTCAACATCTCTCTTAAATACATGACAACAGAACATGTCATGATAATTGGTCAAGATGCCATGACATCTTGCTCAACATCTTCTATGAACCATGTTTTATAAAAATTTATGTCAATCATAAAATCCTAGATCTAACAATCTCCCCCTTTGATAAATTTTGGCTAAAACAACCTTAGCACAATCAAACTGGGGAGGAGGAATAAAACCACAAAGGAATAAATCCACAAAAACAAAATACAAGCTACATGAAAACATGTAAACTTTGTACAAATTTCAAACATAAAAATATATCATAGATACTACATTACCGCTATAGAGTGACCCAACCTCCCATACTAGAAACTAGATGTCTAGACAGGGAGTCTGATATCATATCAACACATCTCTAATACAATACTTCATACAGATTCATTACTCCCTCTATCACACATAACCAATACTCCCTCTTAAGAGAAAATCCAAATACCAAGAAAATCCAAAACATAGACTACCCAAGTTCACACATTAGAAGAACATGCAACAAAAGATAAATAAGCCTCACAATAAACAGAGAAACTAGAGTAACTAGGATTCTCCACAAAACACTTCAAGCAAGATGTCAGAATATCCGGTAAGACATCATGCACACAAACACCACATCAACAGCAGTAGCATAAGCACTAACAAGCATGACAAACAATCATGCTCCCATTAAATTATATATAATAAGCAACCATAATAGACTACTCTTTCCTTAACAGTAGTACAATCCTATCACATTGTTAGTTAACATGTCAAGACATGTGACATGACATCAGGAAAAACAAAAACACAATAACACTTTGTTGGAACCGGTTTTAAAATGAGAGTCGCCACCATTGATTTTTATCTTTAGGAAGGGAATATAAAGGATAACCTTAATTTGGTCAGAGATTCTAAGTTGTTTGACTCGTTTTTAGAGAAAGAGAATGTGTTAGACACCTCTCATCTACCTTGCTCACAAGGATACTAGGGTTTAGATTTACAATTTAGGAAATAGGGTTTTAATTTTTATTAAGGAAACTCTCCACGATTTCTGAGTCATATGCCTATGTATCCTCTTATGAGGAATTCAAGTCTCAATTCGTAGTTCGTAGTGTTGATTGGTGTTTTTTTAGATTACGAAGATATTTCGAATTCTTTTTGAACCAAGTCTGAATTTGTAAATCGCGGAGTTGTTAAACTTTTTTTATTTGATTTTAGAGCTATAGAATGCATAAAATTATGATTTAAATGAAAAAAATGATTTTTTTTAATAAAAATACCAATTAAATAAAATGAAGATTGAAAATAATTACAATTTTTTTGAATTAAAATAGATAAAATAAAAAAAAAGGTAAGTAACAACAAAATGAGAAAAAATGCCAATACATGAGGTAATGAGATTCGAACCTATGATCTCTTACCTGTAAGCTTTATCTCCTACCAATTGCACTATATTATTCATTCAAAATAAAAATCCACTTTAAATTATATGAAGGGTATGCGATATTTATTATTTAAAAATATAAATAATTTTAAGTAAACTATTATATATCTTCAAGTAAGAAAAATAAATTAATGTTAAAATGTTAGTATAAATAAACCACATATTTTGTAAAACTTAATTTTAAAAATAATTTTGACCGTAGAAATAAGGGAAGAGAAAATTTGGGGTATAACAGCTGCCTATATTTCTTCGATTGAAGGGAGCAAGAATATGTAGGTCTCACACATTCGAATCAGAGGGTTATTAAATAATGGAAGACTCCAAAATTTGACCCAAGGTTGACTAGTTAAGGATATATTGTAAAGCATGCCAAAGAGAATGAAGAAAGATAGGCAAAGATGATGATGTGTAATCTTATCAGAGTTAGCGCAAGAAGCAT